GGATTCGATGAGCGAATGTCAGATCCAGAGGGCGGGGAAGAGCCAGAAAGAATGCCATGTTTCCTGTACAGAAATTTAAACGCCTGCCTTTTTATACAACGGAAGGGCTCCGAGCTGTTTGTAATCACAGAAGCGTTGAGGCATGCATAGTGTATATAGGAAGGTCGGCGGGGAGGGAGGCTGCAGTACGAAGAGGGGCCGAGCCCGGCCTTTGGAGGGTCACGGGCTGTGCGGGACGGGGAATATTCGTCAAGCATTTAGCAAGCTTGCATGCAGTCGCAAGTCCTCAGCGGACTCACAGACGCTCACAGAATTCGAAGGCCCCGGGAGGGGTACAAGGGTGAGGAAATAATTAGAGAATAGGGCATCACACATCATAGTGGTGGGTCATTTTCATGAAAGAAAAAGGCAGCGGCTACCGTCGAGAGTTTCAATCGATTATCCTATTGCGATTGAATGGTGTACAAATTGGGCTTTATTAAACATCGAATGTCCGCTCATCTATTTCACGCTGCGGCGGCACCATCGTGCAGCATCTCAATCGCCCTCGTCTTCCCTCTGCACACGAGGGCTCCTTATACCTGAGTATCTACATCACGTTGGCGGCTTCGGTGGGGTGCCCTTCTTCCTACGACTTGTATCCTGCCAATCCGAAAAAACTCTAAGCAACCTGCCCATCGGTGTTTTCTGCAACACGACCCTGGCAGCATTCACGAAAAAAGGCGGCGCCCTGGTTTCGAGACCTGTCGTCAGCTCCTTAGCATACCGAGTAAGGAAAGCCACCGTGTGGGATTCATCTAGGATCTCGACTACGTGATTGGGTGCACGCATGGCCTGCTTGATGTTCTCACGGACAATGCGCCTGTCTTGCGAGTTGTCCATAAGCCGGTTGTTCGCCTCCAAGAGGCGACGATATACCCGATGGAAACCGTATGCTTTCATGGCTCCGTACAGGTTCATGAGATTGGCCTGTTTAAAGAGCCAGCCCATCAGAAGTGGATGAGGCATCGTCCTGTGTTGAGTTGCGTGGTCCATTAGTCACGGCATCATCCGCCCCGGAAACCTTGTGCTCACTCCCTGAAAAGGCGATTCTTGTGACCGAATATAGGGCTTCACAAAATACTTTGAGATGTATGGAAAAGGTTAATGTGGCAAATGGAGGATAAGTAGCTCGATATAAGCGAGAGCGCACTGACTAAGGATAAAAGCGTGACTCGCAGTGTGTCGTTCACCTCATTTCTCAGCGTCGTACACACCTGAGTTACTTCTCGCTCGTTTCGGATCAACCAAGTTGAACCTCCTGCCCCCATAACTTTTGCTTTTCCACACGGCTTTTGGAAAGTTTTTGCCCTCTTCTTCGCCTCGAAGCGCAGGAGTATTTTTTTTAATGTTCTGCTTAGCTTTTTGTTATTTTAGGAGGTATATATATGAAGGAGATATGGAACACCATACATACGGCTTTTTTCACATATACTTAAAACTGATATGTTGGGGTATTTGAAGCAGTCGAGTTGCAGAAAAGATTTAAGCGCGTAAATTTAAAGGAAACCTTGTCATCCAGGCAGCCATGCGACCGGCAACCGTGAATACTATTGCCCCGGTAGCTGTAAGCCGGGCCTCTGTGAGAGCATCATCGGATGAGGGAGCAGAATCAGTCGACGCTAAAGTGGCCGTAGGCGCGGGGGCTAGTAGACGATCTAGTGATCGCATCTCTAGAGACATGTTGAGACCAAGCGGAAGTGATCAGATATCTGCCAGATCGGGCAATTGGGGCTCAAGCAAGGAGTTCATGGACAGGCCGATTTCAGGCATCGAAGGCATGCGAGGGAATGAAGCTGATCCTGAGGCTGACGCTGGGGGTGTCACTCCACCTAGCCCTAGGATGTCAGCATTTGTCTTTTCTCCTGCCAAGGCATTGGACATCATGAATCAGGGGCTGGAAAAGGCTGGGGCACGCATGAGCGGTCTGACACAAAAAATAGTCGGCTCGGTCACGTCTACAGTTCCTGATCCAGCCAAGTCCGCAGAGTTTGCCAACGAGGGCATGGAAGAAGTAGAAAAGACGCTTGCAGCTGCGGAAAACTTCGGATCCGCCATCATTCGAAAGGCGGCTCTCTCGCTTCAGAGTCAGCTTCCTCCAGTTGCGCAGGGCGTCGACAGGGTGAATGCAGAGCTTGAGCGTGCAGGCGATGTGTTGGGAAAAGCGGAAAGCATCGCAGAAGATGCAACGACGCAGGCAGTGGAGATCATTCGAGGCCTTGTGCCATCGCCGGCTCAAGGGATGTCTTTGATCAATTCACAGATCGCACACGCAGGTGAGCTCACGGCGGAGGCAGAGCGTATTGCGGAGTCCATGGCATCCCAAGCAGCCGCAGCCATCTCCAAGCACCTTCCTGCACCTTCAGCGGGCTTAGAGGAGATGAATAAGGGTGTGGAACAAGTGGGACAGCTGGCTAAGCTAGTGAGTGAAAGAATGGCGGAGAAGGTTAAAAAGGCTGTGGCTAGACCCCTCACAGTTTCCACGGACGAGGAGGAGCACAAGGAGGTGGGCAGTACCGGACGACCATCTCTCTCGACGGCGCAGATGGCTGATAAGATCAACAAAGGAATAGAGCGAGTAGAGCGAGCCGCACGGAGCGCGAGTGAGCGAAGTGCTTTTGAAGGTACAACAGAAGGAGGGGCAGCGGGGGAAATGGAAGAGAAAGGGCAGGAGGAGGGAATGAAAGTGAAGGAGGCGGCCGACACGGCCCCATCCCGGGAATCTGTTTCAGCAGACAAGAAATTCACGTCTTGTGTGGGTAAAAGATCCGATGAGAGCGTTCGCCATAACGTGCAAGAAGGTGAAATACATCGAGAGGGATGGCAACAGGCGTCGAATGAGTCTCCTTCACCTACAAGCGAGCCGATCAATCGAACCTCGCATGAGAAGCCGGAAGGTAGCGTGGCCTCCACGAAGGAAAGCGGGAAAGGTGCTGGTGACGCTTCTGTCCACAAGGACCGCCACACGGGGCCGCACAACACGCGTCCTTCGGGCCTTTGGGCACGATGGGAGAGGTGTTGGAGCACATGCACGAAGAATTTGAACGGGGTCTGAGGATGGACGGATACGGTCGTGGCAAGGCAGGAACGGTGAGTGCAGGAGACGACATATTGCCAGCAGGGGCGCAGTGTGTCGTCAGACGAGAGATGATTGTGGAGACGGAGGGGAAAGCAGGGGAAGTAGAGGAGACGACTTTGTCAGGGGAGGCTCTATTGTAGTTTTGATAAGGGAAGACGTCAAGAAGAGGCGCGAGTAATTTGAGGGCGCATCGATTTCTTGATGCCCACGGGTAAAAGTGGAGATGAAGTCCTCCAAGCGAAATGGAAGGGGGAGACGCGTCGAACAAAGGCGCTTTCAAGTCAAGGCATTGCCACATCGCAGCAACGACACATGCACGTGCAGGTAGGATGATGATGATAGGATGATGCAAGAGTCCGAGTCGGCATTAAATACAGACATTGCGCGTAACACCGCCCGCAAAAAAATAATCGTCATTCAACCTTTTACAAAACGTATAATTTTGTGTACATTCCTCAGATACTCCTTTTACTTATTTTCCTTTCGTAAACTTTCCTGATGTTGCAAGACGTATGCAAGTTTGTTTTTGACAATTTTATTCCATTTTAGTCTCGTGTTCTTGCTAACTCTCACTTGGAGAGCAATTCAAGATGTGCATCTTCCAATCACAGATGGCTTCAAGGGACGAAATGTTTTATGTCGGCATCCTCATGATGATGCGAGTTGTTGTTGTCAGTCCTATGCCGGAACAAATAGTCTGTCAGAGAGGGCAACCCCTTTTGTTCGTCCGCCGGCGCTCCATACTTGCCTGGTCGCACTCCTTCTGCAGTCACTCCCTCTGTTGCTGCGCCCAGATCTGCGCTTTGCACGCGGAGCGATGGAAGAGACTTGACAAGAAAGGACCTCAGAAGCCTCACCTCCTTCGCATACCCGTCCTCCGTCCTCTGTAACGCTCTCTTGAAGACCAAGAACTCGAAGCACGGCAATCCCGTCAGCTCTTGCCGGGGCTGGATTCGAGCCACTTGATTCCCCCGCCCCGCTCGAAGCAGAAACAGCACGACGGAGGCGCCAGCGGCGAGAAAGGGTTTGAGAGCATGCGTGTGGATGGGGTCGTCGAGGCGACCTGTGCAGACAAAAGCCACGTAAAGGAGTAGGGTGCCGGGCCCAGCCTTGGAGGGTGAGGCTGGAAGGAGGCAGGGAGGGGTGGGGGAAGCTGCCTCGTGCCCGCCTTTCGTTCCCCGAGACGTCTTCGCCCCTGGTGGATCGTCCGACACGGCATCGGCGATAACAGTCCCCACCAGCTCCCCGAATTCGGCCTCAAATTCCGGGTGGGCGTACAGCGTCATTACACCTTCCCCTCTATCTCTCGCGGCTTGCTCTGAGTCATCCTCTTTGCAGGCTGCAGCCCCTCTCCCTCGACAAGTGTGCCCCGCCTCCATTTCCCTCCCCCTCATCACTTGCCTCCCTGCTCCTTGCCGGTTCTCCAGCACACGTCCCACGCCGTTGGGTGCCCCGGAGGCCGCCGTCTGCGCTCTGCGTCCTTCTCGGACCCCAGCACCCTCTTCTTCCCCCTCCACTCCGGTACGCCCCTCCGTCCTCCTGTCGCTGTCCTCGTTCTCCGACTCTCTCTCGTCCTTTCTACTTCCTCTGTTGCTCTCGGTCTCCTCCCCCCTCTTTCCTTCCTCTCCTCCATCACTGCCCCCCCCCATTCTCTCCTTGGCACCGAGGACACCCTTCAGGCCGTCCGGGATGACCATGAACATCCGCCTCCTCGCCGACCCCAACCCTCTTCCCCCCTCGTCCCCTCCCGGTCCCCGTCCGCTCATGTCTGCCTCCGTGTTCGCAGCGGGCCGAGCGCCCTGAAAAGGGCTGAGGGAAAAAGGAGACAACACGTCGCGGCCAGCGGGATTCGAAGACGCCCCGGGCGTGGGTGGAGACTGTCTCATCCGCGGGCGAATGGTTGGCTTGGGGGGAGGCCCGCCTGTCCCCTCCTCGCCACGCCCTCGCCCTCCCGCCTCCTCTCGACCCATTCCCCTCTCCCGCACCATCCGCTCATACTCATAAGCCCGCCGCCGGATCTCGGTCATTTCCTCCCTCAGCTCCAGCTTCTCGCGCATAAGCCGCTTCTCCCGCTCGAGTACCAGGCCCAGAACGCCCTCCGTCCGCCGGCACCTCTCCTCCCACACTCCCTGCTGCTGCTCCGCGTCCTCCCTGCCCGCCTCTGCCCCTCTCAGGGCCGCCCGCAGCTCTTGGAGCTCCGCCTCGCGTTCGTTAGCGTGAGCTTCCAGGTTTTGCAGGAGCTCTGCCCGTACGGGGGGGAAGAGACATGAGCGTCACGATATACACTACATGTACAACCCCCATAGCGTCGGTCAAGGGCTATCAATCTTTCCTCTCCCTCCCTTTGAAGTCTCCTGCCTGCCCTCCCTCCCTCTCCCCCTCACCTGTCCGACGCCCGAGCTCTTCGTTGGCCCGCGCGGCCTCCTCTCCCAGGATCTGAGCTCCCTTGTGGGCCGCTTGCAGGCGCACCGAGAGAGAGCGGCACTCCTCTTCCAACGCCTCTAGCGCCTGCCCCGCTTCCTGCGCCTCCGACGCCGGCGCATGCCCGGCCTCGGCGTCCTCGCACCCTCCCTTTGCATATCTCGGGCGCTCGCACGACTGCTCGCCCCCCGCCTCCAGCGCCTCCCCTTTTCCCACCCTGGACGGGCTTTCCAGGTCCCCGAGACCCGACGGGGGCGAAGCGCGCCCCCGCCCCCTCGCAGGAGCAGAGGGAGCTAGCACAGCAACCTCGCACGGCCCTGTGTCCTGTTCCTTGGCCTCTCTCCCCGTTTCCCGCCCTCCTTTGTCGATAAAATCCTTCTCTCGACGCGCCGAGCTCGCCCGCTCCACCCCCTTCTCCTCCGTCCCTCCTGAGAGCAACCCCTCCGTCCCCGCCTGGCCCGGATCATGCCGCCCGACCACATCCATGGCCCTGAGCACCTTCTCCTTCCCCACCGAAGCCGGGGCTTTCCCTCGTGCCTCAACCTCCTCCTGTCGCACCGGCGGTTTCACCTGAGGCGCGTCAGGTCGGAGGCTCTCGGCGCTCTCCCCCGTCTCAGACTCTCCGCTTCCCTGGCCCCTCCCTTTCGCCACTGCCGCCATCAAAAAGGAGGGGCTGAGAGTCTGGGGAGAGAAGGAAGGACGTGTCGCCAGCACCTTCCTGGCGGTGGAGCAAGGGGACGCGGGAGTGATGGCCAAGGACGAGAGAGCGGGGGAGAGGTGGCCGGGATTCGCGGGCCTGTCGAGAGAAAAGGACCGACATCCAGGGAATGAAAAAAGTCATGGACGGTGTGTTCGACACAGCAAAGGGGGATCTTTAAACTGACGTCCTCCTTGTCGGGCCCTTACCTTGGGGAAGGGGAGGGGGAGACGGAGGCGCTCGAAGAGGTGGCCGGGGCCGAGCAGGCGCCCATCGAGCCAGTCTGCATCACTTCCGCCCGGCTTGTTGCCAAGACACCCGTGATGCTGCTGCCGGCACTGCTATGCCGACAGTGGGTGATGCTGGGAGAGTGCCGGTCAGAGCCGCTGTCGTTTGTGGCGCTCGCTGGAGGGACTGCCCTCACGTCCTTTACGGGCTCCTGCCGACCTGGGGAGACCCCTGGCAGCTTAGAAGTGGCATGGGAGCAAGACAATGACAGTCCGGTACGATGACGAGCACCAGCATTGTTTTCTGACTTTTTCCCACCAAAGCGAAGGAACGATGGGCCTTTCTGGTCTTTGACCATGATATTCCTGCCAAGCGCGGTGTCTACCACGCCGGAGAGACAGAACTCATTGAGATCCAAATCTGAAGATTGTGTGTGATGTGTCCACCGTGCATAAGTACTGAAACGTTAAATGCGAGGCAGTCGTGTTGATGCTCTTGAAAAAGGCGGCATAGTGCATCCATGTGAATAACCCAGGCACGGCAAGGAGTCAAGCCTGTGAGCAAGGAAGCATCATGCGACACATGTCGCTACCTGAGTACACTCGTTCATCGCAGTGGTATGCGTAAATTCAGAAGATATTGACACATTTTTTCCTTGCCGGGACCCCCAAACCTGGAAATAAGCCCGAGTAATTGGAATTTCTTACGTCCTTTATGATCCAGCCGGAAGCTTCAACCGGGACCGCTTGAGGCCAGGCTCGCCAACCTCCCTTAGACGTTGGACTCCTTCTTCCAACTCAATCTTGTAGTGGGATGTACGACGTGAATAGAACAGGACAGGTTGAAAAAGGGTAGTGAAGCAGAGATAGGGCTTCCGAGCCCCGAAATTGGGGAGTAAAAACAAAATATTTGTCACGTGAAACTGACTTAATACTCCATCATCCTGCACAATTATTTTTGTTCCAAACTTTCCATGATACACGTATTCAACAGCTTGCTCCCAATTCATTTTTATTTTCTCTCATTGGAACAAGATCCTTGGTCCTTTCTTGTTACAAATAGCACAAGCGGCAACGGAGCTCCGGCAAAGAGTAGGGGCTTTCCGTAGTCTATCAGGTCCCACAAACCGCGGCGTATTCTGTCAAAGGTCCCATTGAATACATCACCTGCACCCTTAGTGTATTCCAATGACTCCGGTAGGGCTTGAATGTTGCGGAGGGCGGTAGACAAGGCGGCGGTAGTTGCAAGGGAGGCAAATGCAGATTGAAAGACTCGGGACGCCGGAGTCTGCATGCTGACATCTAAGTATGGTGCCGTCCAATGAGGGCTGTGTAGGTGATTTTTAGTGAGATCATTCCCTGGACTAAGCAATGTGCCCGATACGAGAATCCCAACACTGATCTACTTAAAGCATACACAGCTTCGTCCTCGGTTCGGGATGTTCTCATGGTATAACTTTCCCCACCGTGAACAAATTGCCTTCGCATACCATCCTCTCCTTCTGAAAGATATATTACTTACCGGAACGAAATTCTCGCCACGGATATGGCTTGAAATTGTACGTCCAACTCCCCTGTAGGCGTGCTGGTCTCCTCATGCCATCCTACAGCCAATACTAACCGCGGCTTCCGCAAGGTGTCAACCACGTGCCCGCGCACGAAGTCGTACAATTTATCGAATCGAAAAGTAAATGTGTCCTCAACCACGTCGCAAACTTCGGCGTCGCTCATCACGGTCAGGTGCTGAGTCTGAGAATGGAGAGGAGCAGTCATTGTGATTGGGGCCAATGGCACGCCAGCCCTCCACGATGCTGCTGCATGTGTTGGGTTTAAAACGTGCATCCTGATGTAAGTAGCTTCATGGAATGCGAAATCCTTACAAGAGGAGTGCTCATGCGGAGATTTCAAATCATACATTACAATAAGAACTTCTCCTTGAGTCAGAACGATACAAATAATGCGCGTACTTGGTGAGATTGATCCTCAAAAAAAGAACGGTGGCCAGACCAAATATCCTTTCTGTCCAAAAAGAACTTTGTTTACCATCGTCGAAAATTAAATCCTCACAGCCGAACCGCCAAACGCCTTCAGTGTGCGGTGTAAATGTGTCTTATTACCAGGTATTGTTGAAGTGGGGGGGACGCTCCTCCCTCTCTCCGAGCACGCCGGCTCGACAATTTTTCCCTCAAACCAAATGCACTCGAGCATACATTACAGACATGAAGATACCATTGCGTAAATGACTTATATCGCCACCCCACGATGCCTTTTCCCGCCCCAGGGTTTCGGGCCCTCACGGTCACGTCTCCGCCCCTCACTCTCACTCCAATACCGCATTCGGACACGCCTCCTGCTGACCTCCAGACGGCGCTGTGGCCCTTTCCCACCCCACTCCCCGGACACGATGGCCTGCTCCAGCACGTCGTCCACCCCTAGACTGTCCTCCTCGACATTTGTCACGCCCTTTGACTCCTCGTCGCGGGTAGAGGGCGTCGGACGCTCCCATCAAAGCACCGAGCTCCTTGCCAGGCGCGTGTCCGGTGTGCGCATCGACCTTTCTCCCCCTTCCCCGCCCATCTCTTCCTCCACGCGCCCAGGCGACGGGATGTCGCCCCTTTTATCCAACGCCCAATCGTTCCAAAACCAGTTGCACCGTCATTCTCGGCAATCCTCAACATGCAGCGGCAACGACACCCTGTCGGCCTCCTCCTCCTCTACCTCCTCCTCCTCCTCGCCCTTTCCGGCCCTTCTCAAGGCCTTCAACCCCCAAGAGGTACAGGTGGAGGTGGAGTGCGAACCTGCGGCCATCGGAGACAGGGTCCTCCTCCGCAGCATCATCATCCACAACATGTCGAAGCTCGACCTGGACGACTCCCTCACGCTCACTGCGGAGCCCAACGACCTCTGCTTTCTGGAGCGCGTCCTGGTCGGCAGTCTGGCCAGAGGGCAACGCAAGGTCGTCCCACTCCAGCTCCGGGTCAGGAGCTCACTGACCATGCCCTACGAGGACGCGATCCCAGAGAGATATGTCCTCACCCTCAGCCACGCCTCTCCTTCCTCTCTCCCGCCTTCTTCCGCCTCCTCCCCGCCCCCCGACCTGGAGATCCGCTACAGCTTCGAGAACTCCTTCCGGTACTTCCTCAAGGGCCTCCCGGGCCTGGCCCCTCGACGTGTGGTCAGCCTTCCCTGTCCGTCACCGCCCTCGCGCCCCCCGTCCTCCCCCCCTGCCCGGCGCCGCCTCCCCGCGCCCTGCAACCTCGTGCTGGTGGGTCCTGCCGGCGCGGGGAAGTCCACCCTGCTCGCCCACCTCCTCACGCTCGTCAGCGAGCGGGAGCACGTCAATTTGGGCGGTGTGCGGACCTGCGCCACCTCCTCGCACGGGACCTTGGAGCTCCGCGCCTACCCCCTGCACCCGACCGTCTCGGCGGTCTCCGTTTGGGACACCCGTGGCTTCACACCCAGCACCTACACGTGCGAAGAGCTCGCCAATATTTTGGCGGGCGACTACCCGGAGCGGCGGTGGGACCCGGTGGGGCGGGACGCGGGGAGGGAGGCGGAGGTGCGGGAAGAGGGGGGGGCGACCCGAGCCCTGCGGGAGCAGCAGGCCTGTGTGGTGGTCCTCCCGGAGGGGATCCTTCAGTCCGCGGTGGAGCTGGACCAGCTCCGCCGGCAGCTGGAGCTGGTGCAGCGGGCAGGCCTGAACCCCTTGGTCCTGCTCACCCACGTGGACCTGGCCTACCCCAGCCTGCGGGCGGACCCGTCGGGGCGTGGGGTGGGGGAGCTGGGGGAGGCGAGGCGGGAGGCGGCCCGGCAGCTGGGGGTGGAGGCGAACCGCGTCCTGCACATGGTGCCCTACAAGGACGAGGAGACCAGGTGCGTGCCGCCTTTATTCGACGTGTGGTCCCCGTCCTCCCGGCCCATGTCTTGATAAACCGGCCCGTGACGGCGCTTGCGCGGGCCTCCGGTCCCCCGAGCGGGTCCTGTCTCGCTCACGACGACCCACTTACCTCGACACACACACCCCGCAGGCGCTTCTCCATCGACCGCTTGGTTTACAAGGTCCTGGCCAAGGCGCTACAGCTGGCTGCCGAGTACGTGGAGTCGCACCCTGAGGGCGCCCGGGAGGAGGGCCCAGGTCAGGAGGCAGTCCCCTTGCGCTCCTTGTTCGGCGTCTCCCACGCCTGGCCGGCCTTTCTGGAGGCGGAGGACTCTGCCCCGGACGCCCTCCGTGAGGAGCCAAGAGAGGGGGGGCAGCCGGGCGGGCTCCGAGGCCCCTCGGTGGCCTCGTCGGGCCGGACGTCGCCTCTGGGCGGGGTGGCGGGGAGGGGCGAGGTGGGGTCGGGGGGGGCGGGCGGGGAGGGCGGGCGGGGAGGGCGGGATGAGGACAGTGAGACGGTGGTGGTGAGGGCGGAGGAGAGGGAGAGGGGTGGGGGGGTAGAGGAGGACGGGACGGAGGACGGGGAGGGGGGGGGGGGAGGCGGGGGGGAGGAGGGGAAGAGGAGGAGGAGGGATGTCCTGGATGCGTGGTTCGTGGACGATAAGCGAGGGGACCATGCCAGAGCCGTACATGCGGGGGGGGTCTCTGAGACGGACGGCGGCCGAGGAAGGGAAGAGAGTGGGTAGAAGGGGGGAGGGGACTGTATGAAAGGAATGGAGGCGGGGAGGAGAGGCCGGTCAGCGAGAGTGAAAAAAATAGAGAAATTCGCTTCACTTCAGCGAGAGTGAAAAAAAAGAGAAATTCGCTAATTCAAACAAAGCCCTGAGTGCCCGCTCACGCTTCTTGTTCCTTGCCCGATTCTCGGGACTCCGCCTTCTCCCAGGGCCGAGTTCCCCCCCCCCCAAACATCTCTCATCCCAATATCGCGAGAGCCTCCGGCGTGGCGAGGCTGGGACCGGGAGCAGTCGCCGAGAAGGGAGGGGAGGAAGAGCCCTCACAGGCTGAGGGCGAAGTCCGCAAAGTCTCGCAGCGACCGGAGCGTCTCCTCCTTGCCCTTGTCGTCGTAGATGGTGTGCTCGTAGAAGCCCCTCCTCCCCGCCTCCCCCATGAGGGCGTGCTCTATGGCCACAGTCGCCCTCGACACCGCCGCCTCCACCTCCTCCTCCTTCCCTCCCTCCTCCCCTCCATACCGCTCCCGCAGCTGGTCCACGGTGTTGAGAGTCACCCAGACGCCGATCAGGCGGGCCTCCCCCAAGGCCAGCAGCTTGTCTGCAGCGAAGGCGTCCAGCGCCAGCACCGACACCTTCCCTTCCTTTCTCATCACGTCCACCACGTCGCTCGGCCGAAGTCCGAACCAGGCCCTGCCCTCCCCCGCTTCCTCCTGATAGGCCGTCAAGAAGCGCCCTTGCTCCCGCATGACTTGGAAGGCGAAGTCCTCCACGAAATGGTAGTCCCGCCCGTCCACCTCCCCCTCCTTCGGTGCCCGCGTGGTCACCCACACGGGCTCGGCGTATCTTTGTAACGGATCGCTTTCAACCAGTCTGCGCGCCAGACCGCGCTTTCCCATCCCGTCCGGCCCACTCACCACCAGCACCGTCACCTCCTTTCTGTAAGCGCCCCCCCCGGCCTCCGCGGCCGCCGTCTCTCCCTCCCTCCCTCCCTCCCTCCCTCCCTCCCTCCCTCCCTGCAGCCTGTCGACCAGGGCCATGCCCGCCCTCACCGACCCCCCCAGGGTACCCGCCTGCCCCCGCTGCCCCTCGCTCCTCCGCGCCAGCATCTCCCCCACCTCCCGCCCCAGCATCGGCACTCGGTACGAGAGGAAGCCCAAGGTGGCCGACCAGAACTCGTCCTGGGGAACGTAGTTGAAGAGCCGGCCCCCCGCCAGGCCCGCGCCCCCTCCCCCCCCTCCATGTGCAGGTTCTTGTAGGCCAGGGCCGCGATCAAGACGACGGGGACCAAGAATCGGGTCGCGCCCACGCTCCTCCCCACCAGACTCCCCCCCCGGGCCTTGCTGAGCCCTCCCCCCTCCCCCCCCGCCCTGCCCCATGGCGTCCGCTCTCTGCGTGAGGAGGACCAGGTACAGCACGGAGCCCGCCACGCCCGCCAGAAAGATCCCTGCGTCCTCCACGCCGGCGTTCAGGCCCACGGCGACGGTCGCGAGGCCTCCGAAGGCGGCCGTGTCCGTCAGGATCCGCCGCTTCAAGTCCCGGTACTTGCTCCTCGCCGCCTCCATAGCCTCTGCGTCCACCTTGGCGGGCGCCAGGGAGAAGCCCTCCGTCCTGTAGCCGGGTGCCATCCTCACGGGCTCCCGCCTCCGCCCCATCCCTTCCCCTCCCGCTTCCTCTTTGTGCGGCACTTTGAAGGCGTCCGAGCTGCCGATGTAGAAATGCGAGAGGGGCTGGAGGGCGCTCACGGGGAAGGTCCGGGCCCGCGCCCCCTTCTCTGCACGGTACAGGTCTTCCCCGACGTCCTTGAAGGGGGTCAAGTCGGCGATCCATTCCTTCCCGCCTCGCCCGTCCCCTGTCAGCTGCAGGAATCGGATCTGCCCGATGCCCGTGTCGCCCACCCACTTCCCGGGGAAGAGCACGACGTCCCCGAGCCTGGGGTAGGGGAGGGAGGTGGGGGCGGGGGGAGCAGTGCCAAAGGCATTGTTCTTGCTGCTGTGGGGAGAATCATGTGCGAGTATTTTGGGAGGTGAGACCGCTGTAGGCGCTTGATATGATGTAGCGGTGGACTTCAGACAGGAACAGATGAAGAGGGAGATGATATGGCCAAGAAGCTGGAGAAGACGCAGGGATGGAAGTTTCACGACATGAGGCGGATGCGGGATGTCGACCGCTACAAAGCTCACGAGTAGAAGGCCTCGAGAGAGAAGCGGTAAGCTGAAATCTTAATGGGGCGAAGGAAGAAAACAAGGACACAGGGGCAACTTCAGCATGGGCGTGCCATTCGAGACATACCTGTCGGTCGAGGTCGAGGTGACTATGTTGATTGTTCTTGGGACGCTTCTCGCGAAATACAGCGTGTCCAAGGAGGGAAGCTGCGGAGCAGTCACGGGACATGTGTATGTCCTCCCACCGACGCGATAGAGGTTTCCACCGGGAAGGTGGAAAGCTACCACGTCAGATCTAAAATTTACTAGAAACTGGAAAACTATAGCCAATCGTAATGACAGAAAGGGTGGATGCTTCATGATCGTCGGAGGAAATAAGTACAGGGGGTCGAGGCACTGCAGCGGAGGGAGGCGGCGTGCTGATGTTGAGGTTGTCGGCAGGGTTGAAGGACCTCGGTCTCGCGATGTTGCTGTGATGTGTGTAATCTATTAACTGGCGCACGATGCAACCATATCCACCATATCACATACACCCTGGCATGCTCCTTGACAACCACAGACCCTAAGATGGCAGCGGGCGCGGGCGGGCCAGGGGAGCGCGTTGTATTTCCTCGACAGATCCCGTCGCCAAGAGCGACAGAAAACTAACCTCCTACCCCAGCATTCGCACGACCCCCAGGCGCTTTATTGTCTCGTTTTGACGCACGCAGGGCCTCAACGTCCTACGATGGGAGATGGGAAAAATATCATTCTAGACACTGGAGGATAAAGGCTCGCGAGGAACACCTTTCATGCAGATTTCAATGGCATTATGAAACTCATTTTTGTAATTTCCTACCTATTTTGTCAGGAAGAAATTGGATAATGGTGAACGCGATAGCTGGTAGACAGGAGATGCTAGGTCATCTTTCTTTGACTGAGGCCCGCATTCTCTACATTCGAAACCTTCTACTGATTTTACTATCATTCCTGGTGGGCGGTCCCACTTTGCTGTCCATTCTAGCTTCCTTTCGCTCGCGATTATTAAGCCCGATTTGTAAATTTTCCCATATTTTGGTAAGCCTCCCGGCATGGAAGATATGGCATGGATCTAGTTAATAAGATTATCCGCTTAAATCTAGCGAGCAGTTTTCCTTAACATAATCTATTCCCCCTTTGTCTGAGTATGAGGTACGATCAGAGCAATTATAGCGTTGGGAGTCGATCTGATTTCGCATTGACGCTTTTCATTATCCAAATATATCTGTCTCTACTCCATTCTATATAGATTGGTGCCTTACTCACAATTGAGCTCTTGCAATGTATCTTTTGGTTCTTTGGTATGGTTGTGGCGGCGCTGAACGATGGTGCCCTTCCAAGCAATGGGACTCTGAGGCTGGAAGAAGCCAACAAATGGTGCAGGCCTTTGGGCATTATAACTTACTGGCTAGACTTGCAGAATAGTATGTGGCACGTAGTGATCGCTTGGAAAATGTGGTCGTGGGTGTACCACCGCCAGCCCGTCTATGTCCTCTGTCGTGATCTCCTCCCCGTTGCTCTGGCCACTTGCCTCCTTGCCGCAGGCTTGACTTTGATTCCTGCCTTTGAAGGAACTGTTGGCCTGACACGGCACTCACATTGTTTCTTGACAACCTTTTGGAAGAAAGACGGCGACGCAGCCCTTGCATTTCTGCTTGACCGGTGGCTTCTGCTCCCGATCTGCTGGGTGTTAGTGGCCTACTTCAACATTTCCACCATTTTTATTCTGAGAAAAGATGAACGGCCCTTACCAATGAGCTCTCGACGGCTACAACTACGCCTATGGCTAGTCACGTTCAGTTTTTGTGTCCTTTGGGGTTTGATGGTGGTACCCTCGTACGTGCGCACATTTGCGGCTGTTTTCTTGCTTCAGGTAAGCAAGCTTTACAGATAAGCAATAGCGTTCTCTCTTCACCTTTCACAATGATTGCTCACCCTTCATGATCTTATTTATATCACTATATGCTTCATCGTCTGACAGTGGAATCTGGCGATGGCATTTGTCGATGCGCTTTGCTACAGTTTCCCTGAAAGTCTTGGTGCGACTAAGTGGATGTGTCGTTGTTGTCCTCGCGTTGTGGGTGCCTTTTTCGGTGATTCGTACAGAGATGCGATAGATAGGCTTCGATTCTCTTCGCAGTGGATATCAACGCCAATGCCAGGAGAAGATACAGCGGTGGGCGGGGGAACCTCTCATTCGTGGTGGAGGCGGGCGCTAGTTTCCGATTCTTCTCAGGCAATTTCCAACCCAGCGCTTCACTCGCATAGCATCTTTCTTACCACTTTCGACTTGGCTTGCGAGCCCCTGCCTAAGAACAATCTTTTGCTGTCTGTTTTATCCCGAAACTTGCTGGCGGAGGGCTTGGAGCATTGGATTCCTGCAGGCGGATACCATATCTATGCAATCGCGGTACAGAGAAGCACCGATTTTTTACATCTGCGGGAAGCCGTTCACAAGCAGCTAGGGGGCAACGCTAAGTTCTCGCTTGTGGCAACAGCGGAGCTAAACGATGCCACGCACGCCTCCAAGTCGGCTCTCATGCTCTTTGTTCGTACGGTCGATGTCGAGTCTGGCGCCTTCCGTTTGATAGGAGTAAACGAGCGCCCCATCCGGGCAACTTGCACAGGCACTAAGGGTTTGCTCGGATTGAGCTTCCGTTTTTATGATCAATCCATTGCAGTTATCAATGCTCACCTCCCTGAACGGGATCAGTACAGCTATGATGATGATTACCGCGCGAGACATGTGGCAGCCATGCTTCGGAAATTGCGACTCAATGGTGAACACGAGCTTTTCGACACGCATTTACAGTACCACCATGTCTTCTTATTAGGCAATTTAAATTATCGAACACGGGGTCACAGCCCGTCCGAGGTCTTAAGCAAGGTTGTAGAGTCCGCGGTAGCATGTCAAAGCATGCTGGAGAGAGTCAGTCGTCCCGGTATGGACTGCAACTGGCGGGCTGTGGGCTACTCAAGGTTCTGGAGCGCTGAATCTCAAGGTGCGGCGAACCTGCCCCTCATTCCTCGTGGTCCATTGTGGCGAACGCATCACGGCGACGAGGAGTGGAAAGAAGGGGAGGAATTGAGACAAGGCGACGAAGAATCACGGCTCGCTTGTGTAGAATTGGGAGTGCGGGGCATGGAGCACCAGACTGTGCAATCATTGATGGACGTAGTGGCCCGCGCTTGGTCGTGGGTAAAACATATGGACACCCTTATCTCTTCCATCCAAAAGGGGCTCATGTTGCACGGATTTGGAGAGTGCCCCATCGTCTTTCCTCCGACCTACAAATGGAACAAGGCTGCTTACGGCGAAGACTTCATCGTACCATCTGTGGTCGAAAAAGCCTACGTTACACAGGAGACGAAAAGACCATGGATCGATCTGACGCCGTCATATACCGACAGGATCCTCTACCGCTCGACTCCTGGGGTGTCTCACAGGCTACTGCCACTGGCTTACGACGCTCTGGAAAGGGGCCCTTTGGCCATCATTTCCGACCACCGCCCGGTCTCTGCCGCTTTTTCTCTACTGTTGAATACAGCTCACCCCCTCGCTCTTTACCTTGGTGAGTTCTCTCCCCTCGCGGCAACAAATATTGAACAGGGCAGTGTAGATGGTGCTGATACATTTTGGCAATACGGGGAGTCATCGGAAATTGCAAGGGCGATGGCAAGAGCGGCAATCGTGCGCCAAGTAGGGAGGCCAGTCTCGTCTACCCGCTACATGCGTCCTTCTTCTTATCGTTCCAGTTTTCCACCCCTTCTTATCACCGTTTGCTTGAGTAACTTCAGTTTTCAATTTATGGGATTTAAAAACGTAGATTTCTTCCGCCGCCGAGATCGACCACGTGCTGAAGGTAGTCGAAACACAAATTCACACTGTTGTTTTTACGGTTTTCGTCCCGATTCAGAGAGACGTGCATCTGAGAACCAGCAAGACGATGCTGGTAGTAAAACCCCTTCAAGACCTGCCTTACCAGGAGACTTTGCGCAGGACACGAAGGAGGGTGGTGCTGGACGCCGAGAATCCTTACCGGAGAGACGGGAGCATGTTTCGAATGCCGGAGGTAATGCGCCCCCCCTTCTCGCCACAATTTACCTGAGCGGCAGAGCAATTCTTCTCGCGTAAGCTGGATGAGCGACACCCCGGAGGAGAATGAGTCGGGTCGGGAGGGCGGTCCAGCTTTCATGGAGGACATGGGAACCAACACGGCGGTACATTTGGTGGAGGAGATAGTTTTGCTCTACCCTTTACCGTGTGAGGACCCGTTGTGGCGCCTTCGACACCATCAGGCCTTAGACGAGTCACTCCGCGTGCATGAAGAATGTTCAGCTGCCTCTCACAGAACTTCTGGAGAGCAGATGTTACGAAACTTGCACACGATGCGGTGGCAACCCGAATTGGAGGCTCGTGACGAGCTCACACGGACACGGGAGGAGGGCACGGGACACTTTGAGGTGGATATTCTGACATTCGGTCCGCTGCCGATGACACAACATGCGCTTATAAAATTCATGGGTAGCCACAAGCGGGAGCTGGGACAAGGCGTAATGTGTGTTCGAAACGACCTTCTTCAGGACTGCACGCCACCTTCAATACAAGATGAAGCACCCGGAGAAAAGACTTCACCGTCCGGATTTCTTACGTGTCGCAGTCGAGACAAGCTGCCCGTGGTGGATGGGGGAGGACGAAGCGTAACAGGAGAATATAGGTTCAGCTCGCCATTCAGCACTGCCGCCTCGGACTCTACTTTGCCCCAGGTTTTGTACAGCGATGAGAAAAAGAGAATGACTTCATCCGCGGCTGACAGAGAGAAAGGGAAAAGTCCCGACAGGAAATTACAGCGTCAAAGAGTTCCGCTATCCGTTGGTGGTGATTATAGAGGGATAGTGGAGTTTTTATGCGAGGTGAAGGCCCGTCGTCGGACACGAGACGGTGCCCGACTACAAGTCCCGCAGGGCAAGCCACAGTCGTCTCGACGAGGGGGGGATTAAGTGGATTTTCCCGATGATGTTTTTACTTGCCTCGGACGATTTGGTCACATGGGGGTAAGGAGGCCGCAATTTTCGGGAAAAAAGACTATTAAGATTGCGACGTGGAATGCACTCAAAATGTCCAAAAAAACAATTAAAATTAACACAAAAGTACCATCCAAAAAGCAGCAGCAATGATATGCAGGTTTTACGAACAGACTGTCCTTTACAGCCCTCTTAGATCTGATGCAAGATTCTTGGATTTGGATTTCTGACGCCTTATATTTGTGGCCTGGCCGCGTAACGGATATCGGCCGTCACCAGTCTCTATGCGCGATCCATTAGTCTCGTGCTCCCTGACTACCTTTTCACCTGTACAAGACGGCCTCAGCCAGGACCAGGGCTGCCTCCTGCTGCACTCCTTTACAAATCCTTCCCATCCCCGATAGCGAGGGTTTCAGATCCTTTCCGGCTCT